TGCATTGGAACACAACTTTGTTGATCCATTATCAAAGGTGTCATTGATCAATAATTTTGATCATCATCTAGATAACATTGGAGTTAGGTGCAATTTGAATTGGCTATGAGGGCAAGTGGGAGCTGTTGGGATTTATATGCCCTGGCATAGCAAATTCCTATCTGGATTATAGTGACATATGTTCCTGACATATCTGAAATATTTATGATTTATATAATTGGTGAATTCAATGTATTATGTTTCGATTCACTATGAAATTGATAGTGCCCCTGTAATTACAAGAAATATTTATATATATGTATGTGATGACAATCAATGCATGATATATAAATAGTAATTATAAATTGTTCATAGTCGGTAATTATGGATGGACTCATAATTAATTAAGACTTGAACTGAATCCGCGTTAGGTTGAGATATATTGCGAGAGCCGTCGTATGCAATTACTCCCTATCACCGTCATGGCATTTGACTCTTAAGCATGAGAAAAGTATAGACTCTTTTATTAATTAATAATTACTTTGATTTGTTCGGCGGATTCTTCGGGATCCTTAGACCGACACTTTGGGTAGTTATGTAATTAATAGTTAGAGGGTTATATTTTCAATATTTGCATCATTGCTACTTGTATTTATTTTGTATTGATTATGGTTGATCACAAAGTAAATTCGAAGGCCTTCGTGTGTTTTTAGACAAAATGATTTATTATATATTTATTTATTTAAATTATTATTTTTGTCAAACAAATGTTTTATTGTGATCGAGCCAGAAATAATCAAAGGTACCAAAATAAATATATTAATTAAGTAGTCGGATTGATGGCTATATTTATCCGATAACTAATTATGCATAGAGGGGTCAAAGTGCAATATTGACTTAGAGGTTATTTATTATTTAATTGGAGTTCAATTAATTTCTTTTAGTGGAGTAGAAATTAATTTATGAATTAATTGAATTGGGTTCATGGACCGGGCCAATTATTAATTCATTGTAGCCAATAAAATAATAGGCCCAATGGATTCTCACTCATAGCCTAACTTGATATTGGAATCATATTAGATTTGAGACATATGAATTAGAGATGGAGAAGGATTTGTTGTTTCCTTTTTCTTTATTTTTATGTTGCCTATAAATATACATGGTCTATGTATATTTTAGGGCGTGATTTTTATGAGAAGGAAAAAGGAATAAATTTTCTCTCTCTAGAAAATTAGGGTTTATGGTCTCATCTAATAGAGGCTCCCACAAGCCTAGTTTTCCAAGGTAATTCATGGAGGCTTATGAGTGATTCCTAAAGGCAAAATAATTACCAAGAAGATGGAGATCCAAGGAGAAGGCATCTTGCTAAGGGATCTACAATAAGTGAGAACATTCACTTTAGAGGAAAGTTTTAAAGGTTTACTCAGACCTTTAATGTAAGTATTTAATCCATTAATTGAATGATACACCATATTTTTATTTTTACATAAAACTTGTCTCTATGTGATGAATCAAGATTTATGAATCAAAATCCCTCGAAAAGTTTTTAAAACTTGCACGTTTCCCAACACATGCATATACATGTATTTATATACATAATTGGTGGGAATATTTTTGTCTTGGTATATTCAATTTTGTACTTATGATGTACTGGGTATTTTTAAAATTTATAATTTTAAATTAAATTTTCTAGATTTATGACTTTTTGATATTAATGTAAGCAAGTGTCGTGCCTGAGTGGTTGGATTGCTCCCTCTGTTCGAGAGTTTGTGTTCAAGTCATCTATCCTCCCCTCTAATCACTAACTCCTAAAATTCTTCCATGAAAAAAATAAAATAGAAATGAAAAAAATAAAAAATAAAATAAAATTTTAAAAAATATTATGTACATTTTGTAACTAATATGTTGTATTACTAAACACAATTATTGTTTTATGTTTTCAAATTTGTGACAATAACAAGTGTTAATAAATATCATTTCTATTTTCTATTTTCACTCAAAAAAACAAAATCATGTTTCTGCTTTCTTAAGACTGCAAAAACGAAAAATGAGAACGTTACTTAACGCACCCTTAGTTACCAAACATGTTTTTGTTTTGTTATAAATTATAACATAACAAAAATATTGCTTCTGCTTTGTATGAAATTGAAATCGCAAAACAGAAATAGTTGCCAAATGAATCCTAATTTTTTCATTTACAAGTTATTTTACACACACAAGGGGCATGATTGTGGTGGGAGATCGTTTCTAGGGAGCTAATTATTTTACTTGTACGAGGAGGAACTAAGGCTTTGAGAGGTTTGTAGCAGATCGAGTTCAGATTTTAGCATGCTACAATTGAACTTGTTTTGGACATTGAAAATATGACCTTTTTGTAAAAACATATCCAATCCTAAACACTGCGTGTTCGGATCAAATTTTAGTAAAAACATTATTGGATCAAATGTGTCATTTTCAGTTGTAAGTTTTCATTTAACAAGTAATGCTATTTAAACAAAAGACTAAGCCGACTAAAGAACATGAAAGAATACTGTCCAGAAGATACTAGTTTATATGAGTCTCACAAGATGTCATTTCATGAATATCCAATATTGACCACTTTACTTTTATTTTGGTTATCCAGCTTAGTTTCACTTTTGAAAATCCATTTTTTTAAGAAGTTTGAAGCAAATTTTGTTCCTAGATTTTAGGAAGAAAATTGGCCAAAGATCTGACTTTCTCATGCTAGAGGTGACTTTTTATTTTTATTTTGTATTTATATATATATATATATATTTAACAGTGAAAAGATGGCCGTGTAACTAAAAGCATACTCAATTCTGGACACTACCATTTATGCTTCTGTGTGCATATGTATCTATTTTAATGAAGTAATCTATTTTTACAGAGCAAAAAAAAACTACATAGTAAAACCTTTCTATTTCATAGTCTCTGTAAATATTGCCACAGGTAGAATTCAAGCTTCAAAAAGAAGTTTGTGAAGTTCTTTGCATCAGCATTACATCATTCTGAACAGGGTTAAAGAGTACTTGTTTTTAACAATATATATATATATCTATATATGAAAATCTGGGTCGAACCAAAGAATACCATAATGACCCAGAGAAAACAAATTAAAATATCGCCAAGGCTTCCCCTTGTAATCATGAAAAGGGCAGATTTGGATTAACCTGTTTGGGACCTCGCGCATATGCAACTTGTTCGATCACATCTCTTGTCCAAATCGTATTAAGGTTGTGTTCCATAATGATACAAGATGACTTAGTTACAGTGACAGAGCTGGGAGTTTAACACCTATTAAAGTTACTGCAAATTGTTTCTCATTTGGAGTTTGCATGGTAACCGATGGATACTTGGAATTAAAAGAATGGTGCAGCTGGCAAGAGAATTTGAAAGATACCCGTTCAAAATTGATCAGAAACAGCGGGTATGATGGGATGATAGCTTCCATTTTCTTCGATGGTATAGTGTGGAGGGAAATTTCTCTACCAGTCATAACACACCATGGGTCCACAAAATAAGAAAGACTCGTTACTAATATAACTAGCCCAGAGGCCCAACAAGAAAGACCTCGAGAAGTCCGAATCAGCGCAGGCAACGGAACACGGGTCAAGAAGAGGCTCAAACGTGACACATTCAAAATTTCATAACGCCCTAGGAAATGGTGTAAAACGAGGAACCATAAATGCCCACGTCCGGAAACCGCCCGTAACAGCTCCATGTAAAGTTCTGTAAAAGCATATAAATAAAAGATGAATGAGAAGAGAAGATGATCGATTTCCAATTATTCTTCTTCTGCTGACAAATTTGTTTCAATTCAGTCATATTTCCTTGTCTATAGTTTTCGCATTTTTCTTTGAGTGTTATGGTGTAAAATTTTGCACCTACATGTAGGCACTCAATGAAGCAAAGTGGTTACTTTGTCTTAGAGTGGATACTTTGTCTTAGACTTTGAGTGAGCACAATTAGATGCCAAAAAAAAAAAAAAAAATGGAAATTTGATGCTTGTAACGCATTATAGTACACATATCATACAGTGATGATTGCATAACTAAATTCGACGAATCATTATATGCAGATTTATGAATGCTGTTAGGTGCAGGAAACTATAGATGAAGATGATGATGAAAAGTTGAAAGAGTTGCCAACGCATTATTGGAGTTGAATGAATACAATCCAAGTGGAACGGAAGGTATGTAGTTCCTGAAATTTGGAACTTTAAGGAGGGACGAAAAGCTAGTTTGAAAGAGGCAATTCAGTACATTATACTAAAAACTACAAGATTGATTATACTAAAAACTATAACAATAATTAAAAAAGGGAGCATGTTAAGACTTGATGAACTACTATCTTATCAATGATGGTTTGGCTCTTACTGAAAGTTCCTTTGGATGCTGGCTCTCCTATTTTTTGAGTCCTGTTCTGGTCTATAGGGACTGTTGGGCTTCTGATATTGTGCATTTCCCTTGGTTTTTTCCATGTATAGGCCTTGCTCTCCCCACCACAGACTAGTCTTTTGATTGTTTTGACAGAAGTAGGAAATGGAGTATATAGGAATTGTTATGAAATACAGATGACAGTGATAAAAAAATAATAATATATGATTCCTCTAGAGATTTATATGTTCTCAATCTGATCATACTTTCCTAGTAAGCATATTACTATAATGGTAAGAGTCACAATGCCAAGCTTTGAAATGACTATTAAAGTTCCTTTTCATTTGTTGAAGTTTTGGCCAGAAGTACTCCTCCTCCTCTAAAACAGAGTTGACGGGTTTAAGGACAAAATGCACGTAAATCTGCCCGTGCTACCTCGATTAGTAAGGGGTTTGAGGTTAACTTCAAAAATGAGGTCTGAACTTAAATGATGCATATCATCAACTAATTGCGTACATCTGGATTTTGCAAACCATCCAAAGTTTAAATTGGGGTCTTTGGTTCAACACACTAAAAAATGCGTTCCCAATATATATACATGTGCGCGTGTGTGTAAGCACATATACCACTACTTTAAACAATATCGAGTTAACATTCGGATAAAACTAGATAATTGAGCCAGTGAGGAGAAAAAGGCCATGACAGTGAAGTGTAACTTTGTTTACCTTTGGTTTTAAATTTCATTACAATATTGGCACTCCTGAATACATGAAATTGATAAATTGGAAAATACGAGGACACTTGTGTGATGCTTTCACAGAGTAATTAAGAGGGAAGTATACCCTGGAAGAAGAGGTTCACATTTCCCCTGATAGTGTCCAAGGCCAACATCTTTTCAACTACATCCTGCATTAGGTTGAGAAAGTAAATGCCATTAGTATTAGAGCAGACATATGTCAAGTTCCAAGTTTGATTCTATTCAAAATCGGGCTCACTGAACGTGTAGTACCTTGTATTGCTGATCTTGAGCTGATATCTTCTCGTTGCACAATCGCTCAACATGGTTATCATTTCCAATAGTATCCAATATAAGTCCTGCTCTCCTTATCACTTCCTCTGGGACACCTACATGAACAATGAAGTCAGTGATATCAGAATAATTAGAGCATCGAGAAGTTAAACTCAGAGTAAATCCCTTATATGCCTGTCAAGGGAGTGAAAACATGGGATTTACCCAAGAACAAATTCTAGATGGAGAGAGAGAGAGAGCACTTGCTGCATGTACAGGAAACTGAGACCTATTAAAGAATGCTTTCATAAAAAATTGCTACATGCACAGGAGGCATCTATTGGTTCTAGTATTTGCAAAATGACTTAACCTAAGGGCCATTTGCTTGGTACAATGGTGGAAGATAGAATTCACCAATCACATATCCATTTTTTCCCTTCCAGGACCCCGTACAAGTGAAAAACACACCAGGTAATGTATTTCCTTTAGAAATGACTTTATCTCATGTGCATGTGTGCTACGCGCTCCCATGTATGTAACTATGTATTGAATAGTGATGGTTCTATAAACAGGGTACAAAATATTAGATGATATGAACTTACTTGATCAAATCATAACGGACTCGGCCAGAGTCGAGCCCATTACGATCCAATGTGTCATTGCAAATAAAAATTGCAAGGAAGTTGGTATAGTGTTAGTGATAGTGTTCCAATGTATGTACTGAACAGTGATAGTGTGCTAATACTTAAGAGAGCACCGGAACAATAACAAAATGATGATCACCTAAGTGAATCTATTCAACCCTAAGAATATTCTATTGTTGTATATCATATGGCAGATTGAAAGATAGAGACCCATTTTCTAAGTTTAATAAAACGAGAAAAAAAGAAAGGAAAAAGTAAAAAAGAACAAATAAAGGTAAGCAGACTTGACGCCTTGTTGCCAATGCCCATATGTTGATGTAATTCATTTCCATGCATCGAAATGGATCATTTTTGCCTCCAATAAAACACTCTTAGAAACAAAAATCAAGCAGTTTTGGAAACAGTTGCACGGAATCCACCATCATTTGGAAACAAACATCAGATGAAGCACATGGTATGCTTACTTCTCGATTCCATCAAACAAGTGGATATTTGATGTCATGTTTCTATATTTGATCTATTCTTTTACTACTCTACCTGGGCAATTGCATGTTACCTTTACTTATTTCTCTTTTTGGATTTTTTCTTTTTCACTTTCTTTCTTCGCCCCACGCCAGTGGACTACTATAATGTCAACACATCACTAGTTAATCTTGGATGGTCTGATTCGTATAGATTCGACACAAAACAGATGATCCTGGTCCTTTGTGTCTTCAGATTAATTTTTTACACTCAATGAGATGAAAAAATTCGAAAAAAAAAAAACAAAAATGAATATGATTGCACATAATATGGAACTCAAACTCCAAAACTTCTCTTTTTGATAATCCTGAAGATATATTTCTTAAGATACACATTATGTTTGTATCTTACCAGCAAGTAGTGCACAGTGCAGCCCTGCAAAATATAAATTGAAGCATGTTAAGATAATTTGCAGTGGCATCCCCTACCAACACAAATAAATTATATACTCACCGTAGCTAAGAAGTGCATGTCCAGGAACAAGCCTGCAAGACATTATAAGACAAGCTACGTTTATCAGTACCAACTTCTACGGGAATCTAAATTCCCCTGAAGATAAATTGTTATCTGAGATATGATAGCCTAGAATCGTGGGATGTGAGTTACATATTAGCCGAAATGAAATCCTAGAATCATGGAATTTGACTTATACTGCATATGTCTAGGCATAGAGTCTGCAGTGATTTTACTTAATTTCCTTTCTTATAATAGTAATATGTGCACTTTTAGTATATAAATACTAGGGCTGTAAATGAGTGCTTATTTTCATTCAAGCGTTTACATTTTTTTCTAGCATTTCTTCTGTCTTGTAGTTCTTCTTAACTAATAAACACCCATTTTATATAGAGATGATATAATTTGTCTACTAACACATTCACAAAGCCGCATCTTAGGATAAACATGCCATTCAACCAGTTTCACCCAGGACTTCCTATTTGACCCAAAAGTGAAACAACCAGATGGTTCTAACCACCGATGTGCATCACTTGGACCTGAATGCAAAATATAACAGCAAGTGCATATAACACAGAATGCAATAGATTCCTCCAATAGTAGTCTGATACAATAGGTAAGAATTAATTACCTGTATAGAAATACAATATCTTCAATATCTGTACAGTTGTTATCAGGTCTTAGCACACTCATGGTGTAATACTTGATTTTATCTGACTGAAATCAATCAATATATATAATTCACCTTTATGTCATGAGTAATACATGAAAGTTTTCAATAAGTAGGCAGCAGATATGCACCAGCTTATACCTCTGGTAAGTAACTATCATTAAATAACTCTGACAAGTGAGTGCAAACTAAAACCTGCAGATAAGTAGAGCATATCTCATCACTAGTCAAATTCTAAATTATGCAGTAAATCTAAGATTACAAAGTTTCAGCTGGCAGGTCCCCAAGATATGCCATTTCTTGTATGACATGCTGTTTCTCAACAAATAGAAAAAAATTTGTACATTTAAATAAATTTAAGGCTCACTGATGTCTAAATTATTGTTAGAAACTTTGTGGGTAGATGGTGCACCAGAAAAATATTAGCAAACAAACCATGGGTTTGACAGAGCTAATTTTTTCACAAAAAACTCTCCATTATCATTATAATATGGTCTGATACGAGTTTAACACACAAAAAGTATCCATCACTGCAAAATGGCTGATCAAATCATTAAGGTTCTGGTAGTTTAATAGATTAGAATGGAACCAAAACGCAAGGATTTCTTCAATGGTCTGATGTTTATATGTTTCTGTAACTTGCAACTCTAAGGCACTTTCTCAAATGTGATGACAAGGGTGACCACAAGAAACACATACTCCTATCAGATGGACTAACATATGAAAATTCACTCAAATAAATGCATAGAGAGGTCAGAAATTATGTGGTTCATAAAATTAGAGTTGGATGTTTATAATGGAATTTACTACTGTTATACATGATTATCAATTACATTCAGGTTAGGAAAGTTTCAGGAGACAAAAAGAATGTAAACTATGAATTTTGAAGCTGGGTTGGGCACTTGGAAACTGGAAAGCATGTCAAAAAACGATAAAAAAGATAAAAGAAAAGAAAAAAGGGAGCATAATATGTGAGGAGTTTAGGGGGATACTGGATGACTAGGAGAGAAACTCTGAGTTAGGACGTATTAGAAAAAATCAATGACACAGCTCCAATGTGTAGAAACTAGAAAGTAGGATGGAACTAACAGAGAGGATCTGATCATGTACAATGAAAACCCACAATAGCACCAGTGACGACTGATGAGCACAAAAATTCAAGTAGAATGCTCAAAAAGGACAAGAACGGTGTGAGACCAAACATTGGATCTAGCAATAAGAACAGCAAGAAAATTAAACATAGGGCAATCAAAGTATAGTTTAATGATAAGCAGCATGCCCATACCCGTGGAACTAATAAACTTTTCCAACCCAAACTCTCAAATTTATAAATAGAAGATAGATTCCTAACAAAACAAAATGTCCTCCAACAAAATTAACGCTACTAAATTTCAGGCAATTACGGTAAAACTTGGAAAGTTGTGATCATAACACAACTTATAAATAGAACTAATAAAATTTTCGAACCCAAACTCTCAAATTTATAAATAGAAGATAGATTCCTAACAAAACAAAATGTCCTCCAACAAAATTAACGCTACTAAATTTCAGGCAATTACGGTAAAACTTGGAAAGTTGTGATCATAACACAAGGGGATTTCTCAAAGTAAATTCAATTATCTTCTTTGCTAAATTAAAAGAAACTTAAATAGCTCAGCAAACTCATTATCAGATAGTGAATTAATACAAAGTAAACCTGGATGTGCTTTGTCTAAATGTTACTATGCATTTTTTTGCAATTTGGTAGTAAGCAGTGGTTGAGAACATCAAACCTTTGGAGGTTCACAGCATGTAACGAAATGATCTATAGTTCCACCAAGGAGACCGATGCCATCTGAAACAAATATGAAGAGACAGTCATCAAATGAGCAATAGTTTTATTATTACAGGGATTGCGTGTCAGCAAGTGACAAAAGGTTTAAAATTGCTGGAAAACTAACCTTCCGTAAGAGTGCCTTTACCAAATTCATCCAATAAGCATAAAGACTCTGAAGTTGCATGCCTGTGAATATATTCAGCAGATATAATAAAACGTAAAAGTTTCTAGTTAAAATATATTTATTCAAAGAAAAGCATCCTTGCATTGAGAGACGAGGAATTCTGCTACTCTGGCACCCCAAATTTCATAATATCCATAATGGTGGTGTTAGGTCAATGGCACTTATGTTTGCATATTTCGTGAATCAAAACTAGAGTGTGTAATTTATAAGTTAGTGTCAGGTAGTTACCTCTTGGTCATGGTCGAAGATGTAATTTAAGCTTCAACCAAGGGCAAATGCGTAATCTTTTACGTCAAGAGTATAAAGGTAACTTGATACTTCAATGTACTCATCAAAGTTAGGATGCTAAGGGTGCATAACTGGAAGGGCCAGGCCGTTGTTTTAGGAACCCAGGCCTGAGCCCGCCGGGCTTTAACCATTCAACGGGCCAGGCCAGAAGGCATTTTAAGAATCCCAGGCCAGCCATGGGCTCTGGGATGGCGGGCTGCAGGCTTGGAACAGGCCGAGCTGCATGTTTAGAGCGGGCATTTTTTTTCCTCCAAAGAGAACGGGCCGGCTACTTGACTTATATAGTTATATATAATAAATATAATGATTTGTAATGGTAATTATGTCAATAACATAAGTTTGAAAAGTTCAAACTTGATTCACCTGTTAGCAGTATAACATAAGTTCGGGCCGGACTTGATTTAGAAAAATATATATTGGACTTCATGAACTGACAAGTATAATTATTTGCATGGAATGATAAAAAAATTAAACTCATAATAATTGAAGTAAAGTAATAAGTATAACAATTTGCAGCATGTGCAACAGATATCCGCTGCGTCATATGACCTTGCACAGTGCATGAGTCATAAGTGACGATTCTCATGACTCGATCGGTTCGATTATTTTTCTATTAATGAAGCATTCAGTTTATTAACTTGTTTTTGTTGGGGCACACTTAAGCAAATAACAATAACAACTAACAAGAAGAAGATCAATCACAAACCACAACACAAGATATACGTGGTTCACCCTAACTCTCGGTTACGTCCACAGATGAGGAGATTCCACTATAATCATGTTAAGATATTACAATAGTAAAGAATTTCTAATATCGGACTATGTACATAAACTCTTATACTAGAGTTCTTCTCTGTGTACTCCTGCTCCGGGGTATTGAGACTGATACCCGAGCCTTACACTGTGTACCACTTCACGAGACTCCCTCTCACCATCAGTACTCTCTCTACCACTCTAGTATTCTCCCTCTACCTATCAACTCCCTCATGAGGTTGCCCTCCACTCTAGGGCTACATGTATCTGCCCTCCACATGCTACATGTATCTCCACTCACTCCCAACAACACCCAATTCCTTGGTGGACAAGGGTTATAATTTCTTAGCAGCCAATACTTGCCTTACAAAAACATTCCTTAAGAGGCCAAGACTTACCTTACAAGAAATTTTTATGTAAAATATGACTCACAAACAGAAACCGAATTTATAAGAATTTGAGACATAATTCCTAACAGTTTTTCCTCCTATTATATGTTATTGATTCTATTTTCGATACTGTGACAAAAAAAAAGGGGAGAATGCATATACGATTCTTAATTACACATGCTTGATTATTTGATATATTTGCCTAACCTTGATTGATATAATGTTTTGTTGATTAATACATTTTTTAGGCATACAACAAGGGGGAGAAAGGGTATTTTATGTTTATTGTGTTCATCTTTATGCTTGCTTTATGATTCTCTCTCAAATTGATAAGATGCATTAGGTATAGTTTCATCTTTGTTTTGCAGCTTATCAATAATCGAGTTCAAGAAGCAAAGACAAGAAAATTTTAGTCTTTTTATTTTTTATTTATAATGTTATGTTCAATTTTTGTTTGTGAAATTGCAAAAGAGAGATTGTTAGGTTAATAAGACTCGTGTTGGCATATTTCATGAATTAAAACTGGACTTTATGATTTTTTTTTATTTTAGTTTACTTACCTCTTGGTCATAGTTGAAGATGGAATTCAAGCTTCACCAAGGGGAAATGTGTAATCTTTTACAGCAAGGGTATAAAGGTAAATTGACACTTAAATGCAACTCCCAAAATTAGGGTTCACACATTCATCCAATAAGGTTTTTTGAGATTTCATGTTTTGATTTGTGAAATCCTATTTGATATGCATATAAAGTATTTTTGGAAACTACATTTTCTGAAAAAAAATTCAAGTGCAGGCATGCTTGGTTTGTCACTCTTAAAACAGTTCTCAAGAACTCAGAAAACAGAAAACAGTTTTCAGATAAACTATAACTGAGTTTTCTGGAAAATGAAACAAGCCGAGTTTTTGTACAATTCTCTGATTTTCATAGAACTGAAAATCAGATAACTGTTCTCTGAGTGACAAACCAAGCACGCCCTATAGTTTTGAGAGTTTTTGAGAAAAGTAGAATGCATTCATATTTTCCTTTCTAGCATTTATCAATTGCATTAGAATTGATGAGTGTGAAAGGAGAGTGTTGATTACATAATCGTTGCGGAACTGAATTGAGAAGTTCAACACCAACACCAGTCAATCATACCAGATTGTGTTGGATGAATGGTCATTGGGAATCAAATCACTTGTTGGAGAAACGGATCGCAGGAGGAGTGGATTGTGTGTGGAGACTCGAGTAGAGAGTTTGGTGGATCAATTTGTGTCAAAATTTACCAAAGGCTCCTAGGGTTTGGGAACTGTTAACCTAGTGTAAAAAATTTCTCAAAGTGGATTTGGTTTTGCCTGGACTAGGTCCCATGGTTTTCCCCTTTTGACTTTTCCACATAAAAAATCTTGGTGTTCATTATTTATGCTTTTTACTAATCTGACTTCTTATTGCATAATTGATTGATATAGTGGTAGTCATAATGGACTGCTTTAATTTTGATATTTTAAAAGTAGTCAAAATTGGTTAAGACAACCAACGAGACCTAATCAAACACCAACCCACCACACCCCCCGATGCCCCTTTTCTAGGTCTAGATCACAGACCTTGCACAACTCTATATCAGATCCTAGGGTTTCGGTCCTTAACCCAACATATGGAATAATATGGACTTAACAGACCCCTAAAAGAAGAGTGAGGACACTTATTAAAAAGACCACGAATAAAACAAGAAGCAAACGATGAATAATATATTCATCATTAGTGAGTTACAAGAAAAGAAACTCCTTGCATGCATACCTTAGCATTATTCCTACTTGCTGTAGATCAATCATGAATGTTGATTGTTCTGCAGTCAAAAGCTTGCTTCCCATTGCACAAAATATCCTATTATTTTAAATTTGAATTAGAATGGTCATTTTCATAGTAAAATATGCAAGTGACGTCCCAGAAACATAGTGATTGGAAAAAATTGAGGACATAAAGATCAAACCTATCGGTCAAACCCACAATAGCAGCATCCGCTGGTACAAAACTTCCAATGTGGGAAAGGAAAACAATCAAAGCTACCTGAAAAAATATAACTTCTGAGCCCAAATTTATGGTCAAGCATCATATCAGTGTCCACAAATTAATTGCAAGCGCCAGCACAAGTAATGATATCTAAATAGAGTAATTTCGAAATAAAATGAAGTGAAAGATGGGTATCAGTGCTCAACAAGGCTTCCAATGCATATGCATGTAGGTGTTCTGACAGAAAAGAAAAGGCCACAATTTTGAGTATATAAAGCCCACATTATATTGATCGCCAAGAATAGCTATGCAGATATAAAGAACTCCTATCACTTTTATACTGTTCAAGTTTTTAGAAAAACACCAAGTTATTGTGGTCATTAACGCACATTGAGAAATATAAAGAGAATAGATATTTCAATTTATTAAGGAATTCATTCAGTAAAATTATTCCATATACACACAATATAATACAAATTATCTTCAAAAAAATTACACAAATAGGAATTGCTGAAAGACAAAATATAAAGGAATTCGTTCAGCAAAATTATTGCACATACACTGAATATAAATACACTTTATCTTCAAGAAATTGACATAGATAGGAATTGCTAAAAGACCAAATGTCAAGGAATTCATTCAACAAAATTATTGCATATACAAAGAATAGAATTACTAAGTATCTCCAAATAACTGACACATAGGAATTTCTAAGTGTTCATAGCATATGTGATGGAGATCCCGAGCCAAGTGGTCTACGCACTTACTTAAGGCATAGGCGCAGAGGATGATTTCTGATTTATTCTATTTTATTTTATATTCGGCTTTCCTTATTTATTCAGGGATTATGTTCGCTAATTTTTATATTTGACTTTCTTTAGTCTTTCCTTATTTATTTAGGGTTTTAAGCCTATATATATGGCTGATGGAGGCATTGTGATGCACGTTTTATGAATATTGATATTGAGATTATTGTGGAAATTTCTTCTCTCTATATTCTTCTTCTTCTTCCCCAACTCTATTCTTCTTCCCCTACATCAGTTTTGGTATCAGAGCGAAAGATTCTTAGTTTATTGAATTTATTCAGTGCAAAGGATCAAGTTCCACACTGTTCACCCCACAAACAAAATACCCTAGCCTTCGTCATCACTCACCGCTGCTTCATCATCTGGTATCAGTTACAGAGGTAGTCTAGTCCTGGAACTGAACCAGTTTCAGCAGAAGCCAGTCCAGAAGTAGACCAATTCCCAAAAAAAAAAAAAAAAAAAAAAAAAAATCCATTTCAATTACTGCCACTTTTGGATTACTTGCTTCACTTGGGATCCACTTATAGGACTTCAGAAAAGGTACTTTTTCCTTCATTTAAAAATTGTTCTAATCCTTTATATATTTATTTGGTAGTCTAGAAAATTTTGCATGGTCCTAGCTGAAACCATTTAAATTTTGAACCCTTTTCACAATCACACACAAAAATAATAATAATAATAATAAAAATCTTTATTTTGAAATCATCTCCACGCACCTTGTTTGCACCCAAATCCCTATTTCTTGTGCATGAACTTTTAGTATAATCGATTTCATTGCATTCTAAATTCCTATGTGTGCATCATAGTATTTAATAATTTGAATTACTTAGTTCAATTTAAAGTCAAATATCGGCACATATTCCATCAAGTCACCATGACCATTGGAGACTTGTACAAAGGTCAATCTGAAATGGAAGAGAAAATTCAAAACATGGAACAAAATATGAATACTGTTGTAGAATCCATGGCCCGACTCAGTGAAGAGGTGGCTAAACTAACCACGTCTATGGGTAAGCGTCCTAGTAATGAACATGAGGGTCACCCATCCACTTCTCTTATACTTAGGACAAGTCCCAATGGCAGTCATCATGATAACCAAATCGAGTCTTCAAATCCTCGCCGTGGTCTTCTCCAACAAAGGGATTCTAACTTTAGGGAGAGTCAAGTTCCAAATTCTAGAAGACCTATATCACATGTTCAGCCCGATCATAGGTTTCCACATGAATACTTTGAGGATTTAGATGACATTGAGCCCGTATGCGAGGATCACCATGAGAATTATCAAAGACCTTTTAGGCCCCAGGGTAGAAACCAAGATAGCGTCATCGCTTCCCTCAAAGACATTACCATGACCAACCTAGGTACCATCCTAATGATTCGGGCGACATTACCAAGAAAGTTAAGGTCGATGCTCCTAGCTATGATGGTAGGTTAGATCCTAATGCGTTCCTTGACTGCTTAGCTGACATGGAGGACTACTTTGGGTGGTATGATATGTCAGATAATCACAGAATAAGATTTGCAAATATGAAATTGGTGGGCTCTACCAAGAGGCATTGGCTGGGAGTTCAAAGCAACCTAGAACGCTTGGGTGAACCACCTATTAGCCTATTACGTTGTAGGCTGAAATGAAACAGAAATTAAAAGAAAAATATCTTCCCACGTACTACAGGAGGCAATTGCTAGACCAATGGATGAATTTGAGACAGACGTCTTCTAGTGTGACTGATTACTTGGCTCGTTTTGAAGAACTCATGATAAGATGCGAGGTAAATGAAGAACAATGGGTAACAGTAGCTAAATTCATCAATGGGTTAAAGCTCGAGATCAAGAGAGAAGTCAATTTGCATGCGCCTGACACTTTGGAAGAAGCTTATCACAAGGCTTTAGAGATTGAAAAGTACTATAAGCTTCCTAACCCAAGGTGAATGACTTCTCAAGCCGGGGAGTCACAACAAACAAAATTTATATCTTTCGAGGGATCCCGTGGGTTTGCTGCCTCCAGAGATAGCAATAATTTTGACCAGAGATCTAATATTTCCAAGGGTAAGGAAATTCCAGTGTCTAACACTAGGCCTGACAAGTCATCTATTGAGTGTTTTCATTGTCACAGTAAGGGTCACTATGCTTCACGTTGTCCTCATCGTACAATGACCATAAGCACTGAGACGAATGAAGTTGTTGAAGGTGAAGAGCTTAGTCTCGTTGACGCTGTGAAAGATCTCTTTGGAAATGAGGAGGCTGAGGCAGATTTGGAAGTCGATGATACACACATTAGCGTCATGAGGTGCATTCTATCTACTCCCACTGGAGAGGATAATTGGAAACGCACCAGCATCTTCCATACATACCTAAGATGTGGAGATCAAGTTTGCAAGATTGTCATTGATGGAGGGAGTTCAATGAATGTAGTTTCCAAATCAGGTGTTGCTAGGATGAAGCTTCAACCTGAACCACACCCGCAACCATATAAGGTAGCATGGGTAGATAAGACTTCCTTATCAGTGTCAGAGAGGTGTTTGGTTCCTCTCCAAATGGGCAAATATTCAGATAAGATTTGGTTTGATGTCCTACCTATGGATGTAGCCCACATCCTTCTTGGTCGCCCTTGGCTTTATGATTTGGATGTTACTAATCATGGCAGAGATAACACATGTGTGTTCAAATATAAGGGAAAAACCAACATGTTGACACCCACAAAGCCAATTGAGAAAGATAGTAAATCCAAACATAAGTTGCAATCTCAGTCTGATGCAAAGAAACATCTCCACATTTTGACCCGAAAGAAGTTTGAGAAAGAAGGAAAGGAATCAGGCATTGTAATAAGTTGGCAAGGAAGTTCCTGAAGAACCTTCTGATGAAGTGGTGGATCCACCTCCATTTGAGGTCACTAAGTTGTTACAAGAATTTCAAGATGTGACACCGGAGGAGTTGCTTGATGAATTACCTCCAATGAGGGATATTCAACATGCAATTGACTTAGTTCCAAGATCCCAATTGCCTGACCTCCCTCATTATTGAATGAATCCTAAGGAGCGTGTTGAATTGAAAAGGCAAGTTGATGGACTTTTGCATAAAGGTTTTATTAGAGATAGTCTTAGTCCATGTACTGTGCCAGCTCTTTTGACTCCTAAGAAAGATGGTTCTTGGAGAATGTGTGTTGATAGCTGAGCCATTAACAAAATCACAATCAAGTACAGATTTCCTATACCTCGTTTAGATGATATGTTGGATGAAATGGCTGGTTCCCAGTGGTTCTCCAAGATTGACTTGTGTAGTGGTTACCACCAAATCCGCATTAGACCAGGTGACGAATGGAAAACCACCTTTAAGACACACGATGGACTTTATGAGTGGCTAGTCATGCCCTTTGGGTTGTCAAATGCACCAAGTACATTCATAAGTGTCATGACTCAAGTCCTATGTCCTTTCATAGGAAATTTTTTGGTGGTTTACTTTGATGATGTTTTAATTTATAGCCGGTCTAAAGGAGAACACTTAAGCCACCTTCGACAAGTTTTTGAGGTTCTTCGAGTTGAAAAGTTATATGTTAATATCAAGAAATGTTCTTTCATGAAGACTGAAGTGATTTTCCTAGGATTTATTGTCTCTGAGCAAGGAATTGCCGTGGATCCCGAAAAGGTAAGAGCAATTAAAGAGTGGCCTGAACCAAAATCAATTTCAGAGGTTCGTAGTTTCCATGGTTTGGCTACTTTTTATAGGCGGTTTGTCAAGGGATTTAGTTCCATTATGGCACCTATCACAGATTGCTTGAAGAAAGGGGAGTTTAAATGGACTACACAAGCAGCGCGAGCCTTTAATGAAATCAAGCAGAAAATGACTAAAGCACCAGTTCTACATCATCCTGACTTCTCCAGTATTTTTGAGGTCGCATGTGATGCATCTGGAGTTGGAATAGGAGGTGTCTGAAGTCAAGAGGGTCAACCCATTGCGTACTTCAACGAGAAGCTTAATGAAGCTAAACAAAAATATTTTACTTATGAGAAAGAGCTGTATGTTGTTGTCCAGGCACTCCGCTATTGGCGATATTATTTGTTGCCTCAAGAGTTTGTTTTATACTCCGATCACCAAGCCTTGAGGTACATTCAGTCCGAAAGAAAGTTAAGTGCAAAACATGCAAAATGGGTTGCTTTTCTGCAAGAGTACACTTTTGTGCTCAATCACCGTAAAGGCTTAGAAAATAAGCCTGCTGATGCTCTCAGTCGAGTTGTAGCTGTTCTTCAAGCTATGAGTGTCAATGTTATGGGCTTTGAAAGGATGAAGGATGAGTACTCCATTTGTCTTGACTTTCGGAAAATATTTTCAGAGATTCAGAATGGTAACCGTAGAGATTATGTTGACTTTGCGATTAGAGACGGTTATCTATTCCGAAGCTCTAGACTTTGCATTCCACGCACCTCGATTAGAGATTTCTTAGTCTGGGAGTTACAAGCGGGAGGACTTACTGGTCACTTTGGTAGAGAAAAGACAATTTCCCTAGTAGAGGACAGATTTTATTGACCTTCTTTAAAGGGTGACATTGCTAGGATCGTTTCTCAGTGTCGCACATGCCAGCTGGCTAAAGCTAAGAAGAGGAACACTGAATTGTATACCCCTTTGCCTGTCCCACACATGCCATTGAGAGATCTTAGCATGGATTTTTATTCTAGGGTTGCCTAAGACCTCTAGCAAACATGATTCGATCTTAATTGTTGTGGATAGGTTCTCTAAGATGGCTCACTTCATTCCTTGTAGCAAGACAGCCAATGCTTCGCATGTGGCTAAGTTGTTCTTTGGGGAAATTGTTAGGCTCCATGGATTACCCATTTCCATTGTGTCTGATAGGGATGTAAAGTTTGTGAGTTACTTTTAGACGACACTTTGGAAACTCTTTGGGACTAATTTGAAATTTTCCTCTGCTTTCCATCCCCAAACTGATGGTCAGACCGAGGTTGTTAATAGAAGTTTAGGAGACTTAGGTGTCTGGTTGGAGAGCGCCCGGGTATATGGGATTCACTGTTACCTACAGCTGAGTTTGCAAATAATAGTTTGGTGAATAGGTCTACTGGTAAGAGCCCTTTTGAGATTGTTTACGGTTTTTCCCCTCGCCAACCTGTTGACCTTATTCCTTTACCACCTGAATCCCGTCCCTCTGAGTCTGCTGATTCCTTCGCCCAGCACATCCGTGATGTTCATGCCGATATAAGACGAAAAATTGCTCTAAGTAATGAATATTATAAAATTGATAAAGAATTCAATGAAGGAGATTATGTTATGGTTCATGTACGCAAAGAGCGTTATCCTAAAAGCACTGGCCCATTTCGTATCATTCGTAAGTTGGGATCTAATGCTTATTTACTTGACTTACCGTCTAATATGAGTATTAGTCCAATTTTCAATGTGGAGGATTTGTTTCCATACTGAGGCACCTTTGAGCCTCCCACTTTTCCAGCAAGTACACCCACAGGTGGAGTTACATCTTCATCTATACCAGTGCCAGTTCTTCCACTGATTCAGCCACCGAGTACAGATCAGATTGCAGAGATACTTGACCATCAAATTATTGCTTCACATCAGGGTGGTTATCAGCGATACCTTGTCCATTGGAGAGATCGTCCAGATACAGATGATGCATGGATCACAGAGGATGAGCTTCGTCGCATTGATCCAGATCTTTTGGAGCAGTATCACGAGCTTTACTCTCCAGAAGATAGTTCTTCTCAGCCGAGGAGAATTGATGGAGATCCCGAGCCAAGTGGTCTGCGCACTTACTATAGGTGTAGGCGCAGACGATGATTTCTGATTTATTCTATTTTATTTTATATTCGGCTTTCCTTATTTATTTAGGGATTATGATCCCTAATTTTTATATTTGACTTTCTTTAATCTTTCCTTATTTATTTAGGGATTATGTTACCTAATTTTTATATTTGACTTTCTTTAATTATTTAGGGTTTTAAGCCTATATATATGGCTGAAGGAGGCATTGTGATGTACGTTTTATGAATATTGATATTGAGATTATTGTGGAAATTTCTTCTCTCTATATTCTTCGTCTTCTTCCCCAACTCTATTCTTCTTCCCCTACATCAATATGACTATAAAGAGAATTGATTAGTTAAAAGATAGAACACATTTCTGGACTCCAAATTGGAGGCTTATATGAATACCATAGCCTAGACACATGCATAGAGAGGCACAATACATACATAATTCATAAACCCACCATGAATTACTAAAAGGGGGTGTGGACAGAGAGAGAGAGACAGTTCTGGAAAGGGTATAAATATAATTACGGACCTGCTTTATGTAGATACTTTTCCCTGAATAATTAGGGCCGGTAATGATATTAATCCTTCCTGAAGACACATGGTTTTATAAATTTAACGAATATAACCAGTATGCTAGGATGAGCCAAAGCCAATACCCTAAGAAATGTGAAAACTCTAAATACCATCATCACGAATCTTTGTATCGTTGGGGATGTATGTGTCTACTGTCATTTCCTGCAAAACATGTCTAGTAACAGGATGAACCACTTGTTAGAACTTTATTGGTGGATATCCTTTTCTTCATGTGATTTGTTGCAATAGGATTCAGTACACTCTAAATAATGTTTACAACATATCTTAATTGCAACATTTCTAACCTTCCATTCCGTATGTCAAGCAAGTTTTCAGTGGTCAAAGTTGGCCTCACATAATTGTTCTGACGAGCAACCAATGCCAATGACAAAAAGCTAAGCAATAACATGAAGAGACTGAAGTGAGAAAAATATACTGAAAATCAAACAATAAACAGAGATTTAAGGAAAGAGCATGCAAAAAAATAGCCAGTAATTGAAATTAATTTTACCAATCAAGTTCAGCTGTAAAATTCACAGCCTTGATCAGATGTGTTGAGAACAAAAGAATATGTGACACCAAGTCCCCGGTAATTGCCCTCTCCATGTCTTCAAAAAGAATTTAAGGAAGAAAGGAAGAGCATTAAATTCTGTTAGTAAAAAATAAACATTATAGAATCGTCACTTTTGTAAATTGTAAGTTGTAACTAAAAGGTGGGCTAAGTTAACATCTAGGAAGCATGGACACTTCTCCTGGGGTGTCGTGGCGCGGGGCAGTATTGGACACTTGTCGGACATTGCTAAAAGTGTCATGCAATTAAAAAAATTTATTTTCTGGTTGCAAACAACATGGGCACGAAAAATAAAATAAAATAAAATAAAAGACACGTTTTGGACACTTTCAAGATACGGCAGGGTGGTTTTGAAATTATTTCTTTTTTAGAAGAATGGGATTCGATGCAATTCAAAATATATTATATGTTAATTACAAAAATAAAATAAAATTTTGCAAAACAAAAATAACAAATGTCCAACTCTAACTTCCAAATTAGTAATGCCATTCATGATTATTAAAATAAAATAACCAAAAATTATGATGTTTATATATAATAATATATTTTATATTATTTTTTATGTATCCACTCGGTTGTGTCCTATTCTTTTGAGATTTGTAGTATAATCGTGTCCGTATCGTGTTGTACCCGCATCTGGTGTCCGTATCCATGCTTTCTAGTTTAAGATTGTTAATAATTTGGTAGTCAAAACAATCAAATTGCACAAGCACATGGCAAAGTGGGTGTAATACTTACCGTAAGTTGAATTATAGACCAGTTTATTTTTCTTGTACATGACACTTCAAATCTCATTTGTATCTTTTTGATAAATTCAATACATAATTCCAAGCAATTTATGAATTCTCACTGGGAATTAAACATGGTAAAAAATTTATTAAAATCACACACCTAGAATTTTATGATATATATCCCCAAGAAGGCTGTCCAATTCTCGTGTCTTTGAGGTCCGATAGAAGAATTTTTTTGTGTCTGCATCCTCATCTGAGAACTATATTTGATGGCGCATTTTCTAGTGTTAATTGCATAATTTAAATGATACAATCGAAGTCAGTAATTGACTTACTGCATATTCAAAATCTGGAAGTTTCTCAAGAGTAGTTTCATCAAGCTTTTCTTCAAAAATGCACATCAAGTATCCTACAAACAAAGCGATAGCAATGATATTTGTGCGAAAAAAGTGAGAGGAATGATTGCAGTAATATTTACTTAACAAATTTCGTCCCAATAAAGATTGGAAATATATTTCTGCTAGGAAGTGGGTGGGGGGGTTGGTGGGGGGATGGGGGAGAAAATATTATTCTTTTGACAAAAGGAATGCAGATATGGTCATTTAAAAGTGAGATTTCACCAACGTTCCAAAAGGAAATATGTGAATTGATAGAAATGAGATATTAAGTAATAAAATGAGGTTCATCTAGCTCATGTTGATTAAATTAACCTTAATACCCAACAATATGTGAAATGGAAATCCTATCTAATTTCGATTTATTGTGTGCATAACAAACCATTTATGCATCTATGATGTGTGTAGACACTGACATGCATATGTTTAGAAAGAGTAATATAGAACCCCAAATTCCCTTCCTCCATACCTATTCCCCAAGTATTTAGTAGTCAATAGGTCCAGAAAAAAAAAAAAATATATATATATATATATATATATATATATATATATATATATATATATATATAATTAACAAATTTGTGTGCCTCTTAACATGAAAAACATCTGTAGTATGATGGAGTTATAAAGTTCAATTTGATGTATGTATGTTTACTTGGTGAAAATTTAAATTAGAACATTGTAAACTAAAAGCAATTAAATAGGAGATCCTTTGAAGGAAGGAGACTTCTATTGGTGCGCTGAAGTTCTCCATTATTAGCACTCTTTTTTTGTTGGGTCCTAGGGAGAAATTGTAAATCCATGGAGGAGACAGTTGATTTTTTTGGACTCTTTGAGAGTGTTGTACAGTATTGTACGAGTTGTCACACGTGTACAATTAGTATTGTATGAGTTGTCACACGTGTTGTATAGTATTGTATGAGTTGTCACCTACCCCTCATTACCATAAATAGAATTACATGTGTAAGGTTTACTTTTTCTCCACTCACCTACTCCCGTAGCTTCTCCTATATAAACACCATTGTATTATTGTATTACTCATTCAATAACATATACGTTTTCATATATTTTCTCTTTCAACATGGTATCAAAGCAGGAAATCGATCCCTCTTAAAAAAAAAAAAATAAAATAAAATAAAATAAAATTAGTCTTATTTAGACTCTCCGATCTTGATTCCATCTCGGTTTTCTCTCGGCAATCTCTTCTCGGCGATCTCAGTTCTCGTCTCGGCAATCTCTCTCGGATCCCTCCTCAGCTCTCTCCTTGATAATTTCCCTCGGGTTCATCTCGGCTAGATCTTGGTTCTCTTATCTCGGCTCCCGCTTGCTACTATATCTCATTTGTTCGACAGCTCTTGTGATGGATACTAAGGAATCCCATCTTCTTGGGTCAATCACCAGCATCAAACTGAAAGGCTCGAACTACCTTCAATGGTCTTGAGCCGTAGAGGTGTTCTTACGGGCTCGAGGAAAACTGTCTTATGTTAAATCAACCAAACCCACCAGTGATGAAAAGATTATTGACGCTTGGGAGAAAGAAGATGCTCAGATTATGACTTAGTTATGGAACAACTTGGAGCTTGAGATCTTCAACAACGTGTCATTCCTAGAATCTGCCAAAGATATTTGGGAAAATCTCAGGGACATGTATTTTCAGAAAAGCATATTTCTCATATTTATTTGTTGTATAAGGATATTTTTAATCTCCAATAGGGAGATTGTTCTATTGGAGATTATTACTCAGAACTGAAGGGTATGTGGGAAGAATTGAATGTCGACCAACCATTAACTACAGACATAGAACAACAAAAAAGGCACAGGGAGGAGTTTCGGGTGGCAAAATTTTTATCTGGACTTAAACCCGAGCTCGCTCCGATCAGTTCGCAGATTTTGTCTGGCAAGGAGATACCCACAACAAGTGAGACTTTTGCTCGAGTTCGAAGAGCATCTATTTGTGCCCCTGTGATTGAGAAGGACAACAACTCTGCTCTTGTTGTTCCTAGTGAGTGACATAATACTTTTCGTTGAGGACGAGGGGGTAGAGGTCCTTCCAACCCAAGTTGTGGTACTCGTGGCAGCAAAAGGGGTCGCAGCAGCAAGAAGTGTATTCATTGTGGCCGAAACAATCACTCTGTTGGGCTCTTCATAGCAAGCCAACTTGGGTTAATCAAACTTCGGTTTCGGAGGAGACTACTCCCACTCTTGCGAATGAACAAGTAGTTCTCTCCAAAGCAGAATATGATTCTCTGGAAAGTGTGAGTGTGCAAATCAGCCCTCCTCCACCGCTACTATCGTTACTTCAAGTAATACGTGCCTCCATGCTTCATCTTCTACACCTTGGATCATTGATTCAGGGGCATCCAATCACATGACAAGTACCTCGTCTCTTCTTTATGATATTTCTCATGTTTTCTCACCATTGGTTGTTACTATAGCGAATGGTACCAAATCACCTGTTGATGGAATTGGTACCTTATGCGTTTCGGGTCTCACTTTTTCATCAATTTTATATATCCCTTAGTTTTCATTCAATTTATTGTTAGTTCGCAAAATCATATCAAATTTAAATTGTTGTTACTTTTTCTCCTTCTCGTTGTGTCTTTCAAGATCTCAAGACGAAGAAAACGATTGGTGAGGGGTTTGAGAAGGATGGTCTTTACTACTTCCAGTCAACTATTGCTCCAACAGCTCTACAATCCACCTCCTCTTCAGCTTACCAATGGCATTGCCGCCTTAGACATCCCTCTTCCAATAGTCTTCGAGCCTTGTCCCTTCTTTAGTTGATTTTTCTAAGTCTACTTGCGAACTTAGTAAACATCGTTGGGCTACTTTTAAGTCTCGTTTTGATAATAAAAGTTTAAAACCTTTTGAGTTAGTACATTCAGATGTTTGGAGACCAGCTCGTACTACTGGTTTATTTGGTGCTCATTATTTTGTGTCATTTATTGATGATTATTCACATTTAACTTGGGGTTATATTCTTAAAGATAGATCTCAAGTATTCTCTATTTTTCAATCCTTTTATGCTGAAATTCAAAATTAGTTTGATGCAAAATTACTTGTTCTTAGAACTGGCAATGCCCTTGAATATAAACTCAATGTTATTTAAAAATTTTTTTAGTCAAGGGGCATTATCTATTAAACATCTTGTGTTGATACCCCGAAACAAAAAGGAGTTGCTTAACGGAAGAATGGCCCAATCCTAGCTATCACTTATGCCTTAATAATTCAAATGCATGTTCCAAAACATTTTTGGCAAGATGCAGTTCTGGCTGCTGTTTATCTTTTAAACCGCATGCCTTCTAGGGTCCTTCACGGAAAATCACCCTTCCAAATGATGTTTTCTGACAAAAACCCTTTTTTCATTCCTCCAAAGGTGTTTGGGTGTGTCTGTTTTGTTCATAATTTAAGTCCGGTACAAGACAAACTTGATCCTCGTGCTCACAAATATCTTTTCTTAGGTTATTCCCGCACTCAAAAAGGATATAAATGTTACAGCCCAACCCTTCGTAAACAATTTGTGTGTGCAGATGTAACTTTTTTTGAGGATGTCCCTTATTATTCCCAAGAAGGCAATCGTCTGGAGGACTCTGTTCTCAAGAGTCTGTTCTTCCAACTCTAGTTTTTGATTCTGACATCCCACCAGCTCTTCATGTCTGTGCTCGTCGCCGAAGAAGAGTAGTTGATCATGTTCCAACGACTGAAGTAGTAAACCCAGCTTTGCCACTTCCACCAATGCTTAGAGATTCTTCCATCTCTATGGACTCTGATCTTAATCAACTTATTGCTGTTCGGATAGGTAAACGGTCCTATACCAATCACCCTATCTCCAATTTTGTATCGTATAATAAATTTCCATCCTCCTTTCAAGCTTTTTCTTTGTTATTATCCTTTATTGCTCTTCCTTAGTCCTACAAGGAGGCACTTTCTCATCTAGGGTGGAGGAAAGCTATGGAAAAAATAAACGCTTTAATATTGAATCATACTTGGGACCTTGTTCCTAAGCCTACTGATACTCAAGTTGTTGGTTGTCGTTGGGTTTTTACTATTAAACAAAAGCTTGATGTTACTGTTGACCATCTCATAGCTCGACTTGTTGCTAAAGGATACACTCAGGCTTATGGCCTTGATTATACTGAGATGTTCTCTCCTGTGGCTAAACTAAATTCTATTCGTGTGATAATCTCTCTTGCAACTAATCTAGACTAGCCACTTCATCAACTTGATGTTAAAAATGCCTTTCTGCACGGTGACCTTACTGAGATAGTCTATATGACTCAACCACCTAGGTTTGAGTATAAGGGGGAGTGTGTGTGTCATCTCAAGAAGTCTATCTATGGCCTCAAACAGTCCCCTCGAGGCATGGTTTGATAAGTACAGTAAAGCAGTGGTAGCTCGTGGTATGACTAGAAGCAAGGCTGACCACTCTCTCTTTTAAAGAAAATGAAATGTGGTATTGTGATTCTTATGGTGTATGTAGATGATATCATTATCATCGGCAGTGACAAAGATGGGATACAAGTTCTAATTCATCACTTAAGTTCTAGCTTCCTTACTAAGGATTTAGGTAAACTTCAGTATTTTCTAGGAATTGAGGTGGCTCGGTCGAAGCAAGGCATTAGTTTATCTCAGCGTAAGTATACTCTTGATCTCTTACAGGATACTGGATATCTTGGTTCGAAACTTGTAGCCACACCCATAAAGACTAATGTAAAACTTAAAGTGGATGATGGTGACCCACTCGATGATCCAGAGACGTATCGGAGACTTATAGGTAAACTTATTTACCTCACAATCAGGCGTCCAGATATCTCCTATGCAGTCAGTGTTGTGAGTTAGTTCATGACCAGTCATCAGGTACCTCACATGGAGGCAGTTGTACGCATCTTGAAGTATCTCAAGGGTGCTCCACACGTGGTCTGCTTTATCGATCTTCTGGACATCTTCTAATTGAGGGATACACAGATGCAAATTGGGCCGGTTCTCCTTCTAATCGACGGTCCACCATAGGTTA